AACACATGAAAAGATGCTCAACATTACTTATTATTCAGTTCAGTCGCTCAGTCGTGTCCGACTCTTTGTCACCCCGTGAATCGCAGCACGCCAGGCCTCCCTGTCCATCACCAACTCCCGGAGTTTACTCAAACTCGTGTCCATCGAGTCGGTGATGCCGTCTAGCCATCTCGTCCTCTGTTGTCCCCTTCTCCTCCTGCCCCCAATCCCTCCCAGCATCAGGGTCTTTTCCAATGAGTCAACTCTTTGCATGAGGTGACCAAAGTATTGGAGTTTCAGCTTCAGCATCAGTCCTTCCAATGAACACCCAGGACTGATCTCCTTTAGGATGGGCTGGTTGGATCTCCTTGCAGTCCAAGAGACTCTGAAGAGTCTTCTCCAACACCACAGTTCAAAAGCGTCAAGTTTTCAGCGCTCAATATGCAATTCAAAACTAGAGTGAGATATCATCTCATACTGGTCAGAATGGCCATCATCAAAAAAATCTACATACAATAAATGCTGGAGAGGGTGTGGAGAAAAGGAAACCCTTGTGCACTGTTGGTGAGAATGTAAACTGATACAGCCACTATGGAAGACAGTATGGAGATTCCTTAAAAAACTAGGAATAAAATTACCACATGACCCAGAAATCCCAACCATAACTGAAAAAGACACATGTACCCATGTTCACTGCAGCACTATTTACAACAGTCAGGACATGGAAGCAACCTAGACGTCCATCGACAGATGAATGGATAAGGAAGTTGTGGTACATATCCACAATGGTATATTATTCAGCTATAAACAGGAACGAATATGAGTCAGTTCTAATGAGGTGGATGAACCTAGAGCCTATTATACAGAGGGAAGTTAAGTCAGAAAGAGAAAAACAAGTATTGAATATTAATGCATACATATGGAATTTAGAAAAATAGTGCTGATGAACCCATTTGCAGGGAAGGAAGGGACATGCAGACGCAGAGAACAGACCTGTGGACACAGCGAGGGAAGGAGAGGGAAGGATGAATTGAGAAAGTAGCACTGGCATATATACACTATCACGTGTAAAACAGAGAGCTGGTGGGAAGTTGCTGTATAACACGGGGAGCCCAGCTTGGTGCTTTGTGATGACCCAGAGGGGTGGGGTGGGAGCAGGGAGGGAGGGTCACAAGCGAGGGGACATGTATATAATTATGGCTGATTCATGTTGCTGTATGTCATAAACCAACACAACATTATAAAGCAATTATCCTCCAATTAAAAAATGAAATAAAAATATTGTATATTAAAGCATTCATATAGAATCTAGAAAAATTGTACTGATGAACCTATTTGCAGGGCAGGAACAGAGACAGATGTGGATACAAGGGGAAGGAGGAGAAGGAGAGGGTGGAATGAACTGACAGCACTGAAATATATATATTATTATCATGTGTAAGATAGAGAGCTAGTGGGAAGTCGCTGTATCAAACAGGGACCTCATCTACAAACAATAAATGCTGGAGAGGATGTGGAGAAAAAGGAACCCTCTTGCACTGTTGGTGGGAATGTAAATTGATAACAGGCACTATGGAGAACAATATGAGATTCCTTAAAAAAAACAAAACAAACAAACAAACAAAAAAACAGGAATAAAACTACCATATGACCCAGCAATCCCACTACTGGGCATATACCCTGAGAAAACCATAATTCAAAAAGATGCATGTACCCTAATGTTCATTCACAGTAGCACTATTTACAACAGCTAAGACATGGAAGCAACCTAGATGTCTGCTGACAGATAAATGGATAAAGATGTGGTACATATGTACAACAGAATATTACTCAGCTGTAAAAAGAATGAATTTGAGTCAGTTCTAGTGAGATGGATGAACCTAGAATCTGTTATGCAGAGTGAATTAAGTCAGAAAGAGAAAAATATCATATATTAACGCACATATATGGAATCTAGAAAAATGGTGTTAATGAACCTATTTTCAGGGAAGGAATGGAGATGCAGACATACAGAACAGACTTGTGGACACAGTGGCATAAGGAAAGAGTGGGATGAATGGAGAAAGTAGCACTAACATACATAGGCTGCTGCTGCTAAGTCACTTCAGTCGTGTCTGACNGGGAAGCACTTAAAGCAACTACCCTCCAATTAAAAATTGTTTTAAAAAAGATACACTTGAATAATGGAAGAAAAGCCAACAAACAACAAATTCTGGAGAGAATGTGGGGAAAGAGAGGCCTCCTATATTGTTGGTGGGAATGTATGTTAGTGTAGCCACTATGGAAAACTGTGGAAGTTCCTCAGAAAACTAAAAATAGAATTACCATATGATTCAGCAGTCCCACTCCCAGGCATATAGCTAGACAAAACTCTAATCCCAAAAGACACATACCCCGCTATGTTCATAGCAGCACTATTCACAATAGCCAAAACATGGGAATAACCTAAATGTCCATCAACAGATGAATGGATAAAGAAGACACAGTACATGTATACATACAATGAATAGTACTCAGCCATAAAAGGGATGAAATAATGCCATTTGCAGCAATGTGGATGCAACTAGAGATTAGCATACTAACTAAAGTCAGTCAGAAAGAGAAAGACAAACACCACATGATATCACTTACATGTAGAATCCAAAATATGACACATGAACTTATTTATGAAACAGAAACAGGCTCATAGACCATAGAGAACAGATTTGTCGTTGCCAAGGGGAAGGGAAGGACTGGGAATTTGGGATTAGCAGATATAAACTATTACACAGAGGATGGATAAACAACAGGGTCCTGTATAACACAGCAAACTATATTCAATATCCTATAATAAACCATAATGGAAAAGAATATGAAAAAGAATGTCTACATAACTGAGTCCACTTTGCTGTACTGCAGAGATTGGCACACACTGTAAATCAACTATATGTCAATAAAAATTAAATTAAATTAAATAAAAATAAAAACAAATACCTCACTAAACTTAAAAGCTTCTGCACAGCAAAGAAAATCATAAACAACAAAAAGACAATACACAAAATGAGATAAAATATTTTCAAATGAAGCAACAGACAAGGGATTCATCTACAAAATATACAAATAGCTCATACAGCTCTATGTCAGATAAAAAAAAGAAAAAACAACCAAAATATAGGCAGAGACTTTAAATAGCCATTTCTCCAAAGAAGACATACTGATGGCCAAAAAGCACATGAAAAGATGCTCAACATCAATAATTATCAGAGAAACATAAAATTACAGTGAGGGATCACCTCAACTAAGTCAGAATGGCCTCATCAAAAAGACTATAGACAGTAAATGCTGGAGAGAGAGTGGAGAAAAGGAACCTTCCTACACTGTTGGTGGGAACGTAAATTGGTACAACCACTATTGAAAACAGTATGGAGGTTCCTTGAAAAAACGAAAACTAGAATGACTATATGATTTAGCAATTGTACTCTTTGGCATATATCCAAAGAAAATCGTAATGCCAAAAAAAACACATGCACCCCAATGTTCATTACAGCACTATATACAACGACCAAGACATAAAAGCAACTTAAATGTCTATCAACCGAGGAATCGATAACAATGTGGTACATTTATACAGTGGAATATTACTCAGCCATGACAATGAAATAATGTCATTTGAAGCAACATGGATGAACTTAGAAATTATTACACTGAGTGAAATAAGTCATACAAAGACAAATATCATATGATACCACTCATACGTGAATCTAATATTTACAGAACAGAAACAGACTTGGAGATAAAATAACAAACTTACGGTTACTGAAGGGGAAATGTGGGGGGTGGTTAAATCAGGAGCTTGGGATTAGCATATACACTCTATTATACATAACAAAGATAACCAACAAGGACCTACTATATAACACAGGGAACTCTGCTCAATATTCCGTGATAACCCATATGAGAAAAGAATCAGAAAATGAATATACGTGCATGTGTAACAATAAAAAAGGCTGACACCAAAGAATTGATTCTTTTGAACTGTGGTGCTAGAGAAGAAGACTCTTGAGAGTTCCTTGGGCAGCAAGGAGATCAAACCAGTCAATCGTAAAGGAAATCAACCCTGACTATTCATTGGAAGAACTGATGCTGAAGCTGAAGTTCCAATACTTGAGAGCAGCATGGAAATATATACATTACCATATGTAAACTAGATAGCTGATGGAAAGTTGAGGGCTTCCTTAGTAGCTCAGATGGTAAAGAATCTGTCTGCAATGCAGGAAACCAGTTTGATCCCTGGGACAGGAAAATCCCCTGGAGAAGGGAATGGCTACCCGCTCTACTATGCGTGCCTGAAGAATCCCATGTACAGAGGACTTTTGAAAGTCCCTTGGACAGCAAAGAGATCAAGCCAGTCAGGCCTAAAGGTAATCAACCCTGAATATTCATTGGAAGGACTGATGCTAAAGCTCCAATACTTTAGTCGCCTGATGCAAAGCACCAACTCACTGGAAAAGATCTTGATACTGGGAAAGGTTGAGGGCAGGAGGAGAAGTGGGTGACAGGTAACAAGATGGTTGGATAACATCACTGACTCAGTGGACATGATTCCATTGAGCAGACTCCGGAGAGAGTGAAGGACAAGGAAGTCTGGCACGCAGTCTATATGGGGTCACAAAGAGTCGCACAAGACTTAGCGACTGAGCAACAATGAGAACTTGCTATATAATACAGGGAGCTAAACCTGGTGCTCTGTGACAACCTAAAGGAGTGGGAGGTTCGCGAGGGAGGGGATATTCATGAATTCTGATTCATGTTGATGTATGGCAGAAACCAGACAATACTGTAAAGCAATTATCCTCTAGATAAATAAATTTTTAAAAAGTTAACTAAAAATCATGGTCCCTCTCATAATATTTAAATAAAATACTCAACTATATTACTGCAGTCTATTTTTAAGTGCTGAGAAAGGATTTCCTAGAGTTATCACATGAAGCATATGGTGAGTTTTGTTTCATATTCCTGATTTGCCTTTTTTCATTTCTCAGCCAAACAGGTAGGACTCGTGAGATTGCAATGCCTTCCAGGAACTATACCCCATACACACGAGTCCTAGAGTTGACCACGAAGAAAACGCTGACCTAAGCACCTGGAGACGTGCACTTTTCACTGATGGACAAAGGCCCTGGAACCCTGCAGCCTGAAGTCTGGAAAGGGTGACTGTTGCTTCCTCCTGTACACTGTTTTAAGTCCCAGTGGAAATTGCTGAGGTTTTGCTCCACTTCTAAAACATGAGGCAAAGTGGAGGTGGAGGGGGGAGGGCAGGAGAGAGAGGTTTCAAGGTTGTTTTTCAAACACCCAACCGGTGTATGTGTGTACCCTGCTGTCCTGGGCTGGCGTTAACTTTCCATGTAGACACTTGAGTGCTGGCAGGAGAAGTCTCTGTTTTCTGTTTTACTAGACTTCGGTTGGGAGGAAAAAGGGTATTAACTTGAAATTTCATGCTATTCATGCCAGGATCATTTGTTACAGCATGAAGGTTTTACTTACCCATAAAAGTATTAGAGGCAGTGTTTCTCTGCTACAGGGAAGCCTGTCTGTAGGAGCATGGGCACCTGGGGAAATGTGACCCCAGGAAGGAAGGGGCAGGTGCCGAGGACCCGTGCAGGGGCGTGGGAGCCTCGCTGGAGCCAGTCCTTGTGAGGGCAGACACGCTTCATTCTGATGTGCTAATCCCTTGGTTTAATTTGTGCCTTATGCCTTTATGGGGCCAGCTGAAATCACTGTATTTCTTCAACCTGTGATTTACTTTTTCTTTCTCACTTTAAATGAAAGAGAATTTTGGATGTTGTAGAAATTTAATCACTTAATATTTTCAGTATCAATTAGTGTTTTCGTTAAAAGAATGAATAATTTGTTCATGCATGCTCTACTTTGATATTATAACCTATGTCACATATGTTTAATAAATGCCATATATTTTGTTCTACTGATGCTGTCATTGTGTGTCATTTATGACTGTGTAGAAGGGTAAAGAACAGAACCAGGTTCTGGACTGTTCAAGTTAGGGCACCATAATCTTTCAATCAGTAGAGTCCCTAGAATCATTTATAAACTGTACAAGAGGGTATGTGTGTTTGTGTGCATGTATTTAAACTCTGAAATTTATCTAGTTAACTTACCTTCTAGGAAGATTAAGATGCATTCATGTTTATAAAACATCAAGATCATTTTTACTAAAAAAAAAAAAAAAATCCTCCTATATGCCCAAACTCCCTGTGCTGTGGCTAGTCATTCAGTTGTGTCTGACTCTTTGCGACTCCATGGACTGTCACCGGCCAAGCTCCTCTGTCCATGGGGATTCTCCAGACAAGAATACTGGAGTGAGTATCACTCCAGGGGATCTTTCCTCCTCCAGGGGATCTTTCCAACCCAGAGATTGAACCCAGGTCTCCCGCATTGCAGGTAGGTTCTTTACCAGCTGAGCTACCAAGGAAGCCCACCCAAACTCCCTACCCCTTACCTTTAAAAAAAAAAAAAAAAGAGCCAAAGAAAGAAAGCAAAGTAACTCAGTTGAGTAAATGACCCCAAGTCAGCATAGTGTCAAGAGGAAATAGCATATTTTGAAGTCAAATTTGTATTTAAATTGTGGTTGTGGGACCTTCGACGTGTCATCAAAGCTCTCGGAATATCAACTTCATGTTCTACTAACTTGGGATAATCATGCCTACCTGATTGCTTCAGCAGCACATATACTAAAATTGGAACGATATACATATGATTAGCATGGCCCCTCAGCAAGCAAACCAAATCCCTTGGGATTATACAGTGGAAGTGACAAATAGATTCAAGGGATTAGATCTGATAGAGTACTGGAAGAACTATGGACAGAGGTTCATAATACTGTAAAGAAGGTGGTGATCAAAACCATCCCCAAGAAAAATACAAGAAGTCAAAAAGGTTGTCTGAGGAGGCCTTACGAATAGCTGAGAAAAGAAGAGAAGCAAAACACAAAGGAGAAAGGGAAAGATATACCCAACTGAATGTAGAGTTCTAAAGAACAGCAAGGAGAGATATGAAAGCCTTCTTCAGTGAACAATGCAAAACAAAGAAATAGAGGAAAACAATAGAATGGGAAAGACTAGAAGTTGATTCAAGAATATTAGAGATACCGAGGAAATATTTCATGCAAAGATGGGCACAATAAAGGACAGAAACACTATGGACCTAACAGAAAAAAGCAGAGACATCACTTTACCAACAAAGATCCATAAGCTATGGTTTGTGAGAGCTGGACCATAAAGAAAGCTGAGTGCTGAAGAACTGATGCTTTTGAACTGTGGTGCTGGAGAAGACTCTTGAGAGTCCCTTGGGCAGCAAAGAGATCAAACCAGTCAAGCCTAAAGGAAATCTGTCCTGAATATTCATTGGAAGGACTGATGCTGAAGTTCCAATATTTTGGCCACCTGACTTGAAGAACTGTCTTCTTAGAAAAGACCCTGATTCTGGGAAAGATTGAGGGTAGGAGAAGGGGACGACAGAGGATGAGATGGTTGGATGGCATCACTGACTTGATGGACATGAGTTTGAGCAAGCTTCGGGAGTTGGTGATGGACAGGGAAGCCTGGCGTGCTGCAGT